CCGAGCCAATTTTTCTGTTTTTAGTAGAAATGGGGGGGGTCTGACTCTTGCTCAGGCTGGTCTTGAACTTCTGAGCTCAAGCAATCTGCCTTGGCTTCCCAGAGTGCTGGGATTATAGGCGTGAGCCACTATAACACCACCACAATCAATTTCAAATGTTTCCATCACCTCAAGAAGAAATCCCACGCCCCTTAGCCATCACCCATGCCCAGGCCTAAGTCCTATTAATCTACTTTCTGTCTCTATGTCCCTATTCTGGACATTTCATATAAATATAATCATACACTGTGTGACCCTTTGTGACTTAATGTGTTTGTTATTCACTCTGTAGGGTGTGTCAGAATTTCCTATTTATGGCTATTGAATAATCCATTTTATGGATAATCCACCATTTATCCATTCATCTGTTGATGGACACTTGACCAGTCTCTACCTTTTGGCTAATACAACAGTGCTGCTATTAACCTTGGGTACAAGTTTTTGTGTGGGTGTTTGTTTTTATTTCTTTTGGATACACCTAGGGGTGAAATTTTTGGATCACACACTCCCTCTGTTTAATCATTTTAGGAACTTCCAGACCGTTTCCCAAAGTGGCTTCACCATTTATATTCTCACTGGTAACATAGGAGAGGGTTATTCTTGCTTTATTTTATGCACACGTGAGGGTGTATCTGAAGGACAACTTCCTAGAAGATTTATTTCTGAGTTAAAGGTTACTGCTTGTTGTAACTTTAAAGGGAAATTTGGAAGCACCCCACAAAGGAGGTCGCTCCACTTTATGAAGCAGAGCTGGTAGTCTTCAACCGGGAGGCGTGAGAGTTCCGATTCCTTTATGCCCCCCTCATCCACCTGCTTGATCTGGGGTTTTGCACTTGGCCGTTCACAGGTGGACTCGTAGCGTGGTGTCATTCTTAATTTGGTTAGCTGTACCATGAGTGAGATTGCGCAGCTCTCTGAAAGGCTGCTTCTGGCTTCAGAGCCAGGTAGGTCTCAGGTGGCACAGAGCCAGAAGAAGCCCTGCGCCCAGATGTCCACGTGTGGAGGCAGCCAACATTCCTCATAATTTTGTTTGCATTGGCCACCCTCAACCTCCCAGGTGGCCCCAAACATGTTGCAGCTGGTGGGGGAGGCGGGCCAGCCGAGGAGGGTAAATACAGGTGTGCCGTGTTGAGAGGGCCCCTTTCTCTTTCTGGCCCGCAGGGTCCAAGCCTGAGTAATCGTCAGAAACATGTAGAGACCGAGGCTTTTAAAAGTACAGGGTATTGGCATCTTCTCCTGAAGCCCATTTGGATGGAAATGGGCATGAGACAGAATTCTGGCTTGAAGTTCATGTCCTGTGTTTCTCCATTAGTCAAGTATTATCGGTTTCCATTTATTCTCCCTGTTCAGCCTCCTCGTTCTCTTCGCCGCCTCCCTGGAATGACTGAGAATGGTGCTTCTTCAGTGCTTTGGCCGAGACTTGGCATTAATCACCCAGGTGATCCTGGCACTGAGCCAGGTTCTTGGGAGACACTTTTTCTCTTCCCTTCTTGCCCTCATTTGAATGCCTACTCTGTCAGGCACTGTTCAAAGTACTGGAAATACAGCGGTAATTAAATTAGATGCAAATCTTCCTGGAGCCTTTTTGTTTTTTTTAGGTATAAGCCTTGTGGGGCTTGATTTTCAGCACCATTGGGTGGGCTTTGCTGTGTCACCTGGGGCATCAAGTCATCCCCCTTTCTGAGATCGCATTCCCTTATCTGTAGAATGGGAGTAACATTGGTGCCCCCTGCTCCCAATTATGGTTGAGCATAAGAAAAGGAACAGATATGTCCAAGGGTGTCAGCATGGGGGTGTATGGCAGGCCCTCAGCCAGTGGGAGCTGCTGTTCTGATTTTTGCTGTTGCTACCAAGCAGAGTCAGGCTTTGCATACATAGGGGTTTGGACTTTATTGGGGGGCAGTAGGGTCCATTGATAGGTTCTCAGAAGAGGTATGACATGAATGGATTTGCATATGTGACCCTCCTGTGGATGTGTGCGTGTGTGCACCTGTGTGGGTCCTGTTTGAGATGGTGTTTGCACAGTGCTAGAAAAAACCAAATTGGGGGTAAGGAATTTAGCACCTTGAGACAGCAAGGCTTCAGCCCCAGGAGGGGACTGTCAGTGCCTCCTGCTGTGAAGGACGGCATCTTGGGGACCCCCCACCCCAGCCCTAGCAACTCCTCCTGGGGGTTCTAGTCGCAGAAGCTTGCCGGCTCCTGTGGAGCCTGCAGAAAGAAGGACAGAAGCATAAACATGTGGTTTGGGGGGTACTTGGCAAGTAGCCTGTGACTTTTGACAAGTCCTTGTGACATTGGTGCCCCCCACCTTCTGTTACATTTGGGCATAAGAGAAGGATCAAGGTGTCACATGTCTTGCTCAGGCCCGGGTGAAACACTTGGATTCCACTGTCTAAAGCCGTGGGTGGTTCTAACTAAGATGATTTTACATCCCCTCTCTGCAGCGGGAGACATTAGGCAATGTCTGGAGATGGGTTCGGTTGTCACACCTGGGGGACAAAACGCCACTGGCATCTAGTGTGTATTGGCCGAGGATGATACTGAACATTCTGCAAGGCACAGGACGGCCCCTACCACACAGTAATGCGGTTCAAAATGTCAGCGGTGTTGGGGGGTGAGAAACTGCTCTGAAGTTGTTTGCTTTGCCTAGGGCTATAAAACATCACTGGGTGAAATAGGGCTTTTCACTGAACCTTGTCCTGATGGAGTTATCTCATTTGTTCAGCACATACTTGTTGTCATAGTGGATGCTAGAGCCCACTGACAGAGGGGGGGAGAGATGGAGTCCCCGCCAGTGAGAGAGGAGATAGACTCAGAAAGTAGCCCTTAGTTAGCACTACAGTAGGGGTTTGCACTGGGTATGGTGGGTCCATGTGGGCGTGGGGGGAGATAGGGTTGGGG